GATGTACTAGAATAAAAAATTATGCCTACATGTTGACCAGAGCTACATGTTGAGGGTTGTGCTGTGTATATACGAGTATCGTAGCATACTTGCACCCAACGAGTTAAACTCTAGTCCAAGGGGATATATGTTATGAGCTAAGTGTTAATCGATTATTTACTCTTTCACCAATAAGATGGAAAACAGTTTTATGAGTGCTAATCTGACTTATTCGGCAAAATATTTTATTACTGGGTTCATATGCTAATTTTCTTCTCGTTAGTTCTGGTACCGGTTTTATAACCGAAGGGCTCGTTATATCTTGGGGGAAATTTCCGTACGCCGGAAATAATCCCTTAGGACAACGTCGGACGCGTCTCGAGCCACTAATATACATTTAGTTTCTTTTAGTGTTTATTTTGCAGGTCAATTCTCGGAGCTAGATAGCCAACGAGGTCAATTTAGGAGCAATATGGTCAACACGTTGATTTTGGAAGGATAGAGCCAACACATTCCACAAACTGCCATTCCATCCCGCAATTAGGGTTAAAGTAAGATTGTCATACACTTTATTTTGCACTACACTTCTTTTCCATATCTCACTTTTACATTATTTTCCATTAGTCGTATGTTTTTGTTGTTGTATTAATGTAGCATGAAAAAAAATTGAAAAAGTTATTTAGCAGTATTTGTGACTTAGGTATCACCATGAAATTATATATATAATTTTTCTCATAAATGATACACTTCGCTCGACAAGCTATTTTCAATTCACAATCTTTTAAGTAGGTGTTAATTGGGTGAGATTACTTTGATGATTTTGTTATTATTATTTTCATTACAGATGGCAACAGAAAATGATGAATGGATATTTGATGAATATGACAGTGAAGATGACAAACAACCTGCTTGTTTGCCCCTCTCCACGAATGGGGCATGTGCTATATTTCATGATGTAGGTGACTTATCAATTTTTTCTGAGCCAGCAACGATACAATCTTTGACCAAACTAAAGAGCATTCATGGTTCTGAATCTTCAGCAAGTGAAGATGAAGTAGACCCTGGGCAAATCCAAGCAAGTCGTAGGGAGCTAACTTCAGGTTGGAATTGAACAATCATTTGCATCCATTGATGAATTTTATGAAGCTGTTAAAAGCTATAGGATTCAAAATATGTATAATTTAGACTTTGTGAAGAAAGATAAGATAAGATGTCGTGTGAAGTGCGTGAAGGACTGTCTGTGGCTTATATATTGTTCAAAAGTTGAAAATTTAGGAACCTTTAAGGTAAACACCTTCATCTCTAGCCATAATTGTCAAAAGGAGGGAGTGAAAGTAAGATTTGCTGATACTAAGTGGTTGGGAAATAAAGTAATTGACGACTTTAGAGAACATCCAAAAATGGGAGGTGAAGAATTAAAAGATCTTATATATAAGAAATATAATGTCACGATCAGTATTGCAAAGGCATATAGAGTAAAGGCATATGCTTTACAATCACTCCATGGCAATGTTGCTCAACAATATTCTAAGTTGCCAGATTACCGTGTGGAGTTACTAAAGACCAATCCTGGATCATCCGTAGAATTATTGTCACGAAGACACACTGCAACTGGTCCATCAAGATTTGGTAGAACATATATATGTATTGATGCGTGTAAAAGGGGGTTTATAAATGGATGTTGGCTACTAATTGCAATAGATGGATGCCATCTAAGTGGATACTATCGTGGTCAGCTTCTTGCAGCAGTTGGTCTTGATGGGAACAATGGCTTGTTCATTATAGCATATGCTATAGTTTCATCTGAAACTAGAGAAACATGGTTGTGGTTTTTAAATAGTTTGCTAATGGATATTGGACAAACATCCATACATGGATAGAGATGGACATTCATGTCTGATCAAGGAAAGGTATATACTTAATTTTTAATTACTTTACCGTTAATACTTATATACATGGTTTACAAATTTGTTTCGGGTTTGCTTAATTAACAGGGTCCTGTGGCTGCACTACAAGAACTATATCCTTCTCCATATCACCGCTTCTGTGTACGTCATATGTACATGAAATTTGAGAAAAAATGGAAGGATGAATAATTAAGATCTCTATTTTGGTTAGCTGCAAGATCCACTACCACGTGTGATTTTGACAGACACATGAATAAGATGAAGGCTAAAGATTACACTGCATGGGAATATTTCACTGAAGTAGGTGTTGAGAGATGGAGTAGAGCACATTTTCAAAATCATGTGAAGTGTCACGTGTTCTCAAGTAGCATTGTTGAGTGCTTCAATGGAATTATAAAAAAGAATCGAGACAGTCATGTGGATATCCATATCGACAATATAAGGATTAAAGCAATGAATTTGATGAGGAAAAAAAAGAAAAAGATGAGGCTCACGGGAAGTTTAATATGCCCGGAGATCTTAAAGAAATTAAATGCATGCATCATGGAATCTACTAGGTGGAATTCTATTTCGTGCGGGGAAGTTATATTTGAGGTTTCACAATGGCCTAAAAGGTTTATTGTTCACCTTGAGAATAACACATGTACTTGTAGGCTATGGGACTTGACAGGTGTACCTTGTACCCATGCTTGTGCTACTATAATATCTATCAAGGGCAGGCCAGAAAATTATATTCATCAATATTTTTCAAGGGACTGTTTTTTAGGGCTTATGAGTATGAAATCAATCCAATAGGAGGTCCTGATTTTTGGCCTAAAACTAATAATGAGCTCATACAACCACCTTTGCTGAAGAGGCCACCGGGGAGGCCAAAAAAGCAAAGGCACAAATCACCATTGGAAGGGAAGAATCCACACAAAGCTAAGAGAAAGTACGGAATGAGCAATAAAAGGTCTTGTAAAGAAAATGAGCAGGCATGACTTTTCAACCTAGGCTCCAATAATATTTACTTTGTTGATATGCCTTATTTGTTATTCTTGTTAGGAGTTGACAAGAGGATGTTCCATTTTCACAATCTAGAGCAATGTTTGACAAGATAAGAAGAAGACATCAATTCATGTAGAGCTGGCAGAAAATAGTCTTGCGGGATGAACTTTTCATTTCGATCTTTGCTTTGATTAGTACATTTTAAACAATGGCTATTGATTAATCTTTTCTTAATTAGATTTGATTGGATTACTTGTGGAATGTTTCAGTATATTATAAAGATATTACTTCGAATTACAAGTTTGATTTATACAAGTTCTCTTACAATTTCATTTGTTCATGTTCAGTACACCCACCCATAGTTTCTGTATTATTGTCATCATTCTGATGTGTATCAGTTTAGGGAATACTACCAATATATACAATGTATAGTAGAGGAACTTCAATTTACCTTATAAATGTAAATGAACCAGCAAGATGTGTTGAAGCCTATGAAAAGTAAACACATGTCAGATGATACTAAATTGGCTACGTGACAATATCATGTTGTTTTCCTATCCAATTTCAATTCATTATTGTTTTGTACAAAGTAAAACATAAAGCATGACTTTTCAAGGATGAAGTTGTAATTAAAAATCAGTCGGAGGACAATAGTGGTTTGATATTAGTCATCCAAGTTTTCCTTCCGTTCTTTTCATCTCTTCTTAGCTAATATTGTACCATATCAAGGAATGATTATAAAGTTGTTCAGATGTTTGCTGGACTATTAATGAGGCTAAAAGGGTTTAAATTATTTTTAAAAAGCTACATATTTAAACATTATTTCTCTAACTCTTTCTCATAAATCACTGGCTTAGCTTATGTGGTAAATTTCAGAATAGTGCAAACAATAATGATTTGAATTACTACATCTTTTTATGTAGACAAGTCCAGGTGAAACCAAGAGCATAACAACTTTAGCTTCTTAAAATGGAATTCAAGATTAAAAGATATTGCTTCAGGATGGATCAAACGTAAACCTTATTTAGTTTCTGCAAGATTAAAACCAAAGAGGAAAGATGACTTCTTAAACTGGAATTCAAGATTATAAGAGGACTTCTTAAAATGGAATTCAGGATTATAATAGGACTTATTATTGCTTTAGTTGCTTAAAATGGAATTCAAGATCAAAAGAGGGCTTCTGTTTCTACAATCCATCTCCAAAGGTGAATTATCAAACCTCCATGTGTGTGAGATGAATTAAGCCCAAGTGTACTGAGAGAAATTTTTAAATATAATCTAGAGTGAAATATTATTATCAAATGAAGTTAAAGGATATCACTTATGAATGAAGAACCATTTCGTGGTTTTAGTTTATAACGATCAAGCTACAGAGTCTTCCCCAAACATAAACCCATATATTAACAAACACAATTACGTATACTTACATGGCTACAAAACAATCATCCCTATAACAAAAAACTTACATGCCCAGACAAAAATTAAATGAATAAACACTAAGTTCCAATATTCACTTAGCATGAAGCAAAAGGAAATTTTCAGAAATCATACTCAATAATTTCATGAAGGTCTCTCACTCGCTTTGTGTGATTCCACAAAATTGAAGTCTAAAAGAATATTTTGAAATTAACACATCTCACACCGCCGTGAAAAGATTGACAGAAAAAACACATGTTTCGTCGGCGATGAAACTTACCGGCAGGAGAAGCGCTGGTGAGATACTTGTCCTTGTGACATTCATTAACCAAAGGTGTAATTGGTTAAAGTGTTAGGATGATGAAGATAAGCTTAGTGACAGTAGAAGATGAAAAGGTACGTGTCGACGAGTTGAGACCAGGAGAAAAAAATGAATTGGCTTCCTGGAGTTTGTGGTTGGGAGTGAAAAAGAAAGGATAAGGTAGATGAAATGTTTGAAGAGTATAGCTGGATACACCAACAAACATGATTCGAACGTACATGTGGCAATTTTTTATCTAGCTGGCGGCCGTATCAAACTTCTGTTAGAGGTAAGTTAATGGTGGTGATTTTTTAAGCCTTGTTTTGATAGATAGTAATCTTATAGGTCCCTTATTGATAGAATTATTCTTTCGGGTCCAGAACTAATAGTAAACTCAACTTTCAGGTCTTGGACGGATGAAATTCCTTGTAATTTTGACAAGAGACCGTTCCCAAAACTTGAACCCATGACCGGTCAGTCATACAACTATACAAGTGATACAACACTGTAACCGGTGCACTCCCCTTAAAATTTGAATCTAATTAATTAAATTACGATTAAAAACAGTGTTTTATCAGCACCTAAACAATTGTAACTTTCTCTAAAAAAAAAAAATTGTAACTTAACATTTTTTTTAATTGAACACAGTTTTCAATCTGTTGGACTTGACATGGCAGTAGGTATTTATAGCAACAATCGCCTGAAAAGAACAGTGATGGTGGGCGGTCAGCTTTGTTCTCTCTGCTTATAAAGAAAGTACCTGAAAAAACATGAGTGGCTGAGTGAGTTAATAGTAAGATAGTGAACAAGGGTGACATTGTAAACTGCGCAGTTAAGAGACACTATGATCAAGCATAAATGAGATTAATGAGAAGCTTTGAGTTTCAGATGGAGACGCATACTCTAAGTACCCACAGGATGCGGAGTAGGCAAACGTGTCAAGTCCATTTCTACCTGCTGAATAGTCCAACGCAAATTTTCCAATTTCTGCATTCAAAATCAGATGTGAGCTTCTTTATTGATCCAAAAAAGGTGGAATCTCCCACCCCAAGAGCCCCCCACCCCAACCCAACAGGATGGTGGGGAGGTTAGTCACGGTGACTCTGTCAGCAAAGTGGCAGTAGGCTCATACACCCGTGCGCACCAGAGGCCCAACCTTATTTCAGGTTTTGTGACCTCCACCCGGTCGTTGCGGGGATTCGAACCTTGGTCCATTGATCCAAATCTTCCACCACTCGACCAACTGAGCTACCCGTGCGAGTAGCTTCTTTATTTAAAGATGGCTAAGGAACAGAAAAGGGAGACGGACTTGTATTCAAAATATGAAGAAAAAAAAACATACCTTGACAATGTCATGGTATTGTCTGGCAATCATGTCAAAGTGGGGATCTACACCCTGGTACTCACGGAGGCGAGTCACCTATATTTCAAATTTTAAATAATGACTCAGTTTTTATTTGAAATTTAAGCTCTTTAAGAACATGGAATCAGAAAGAGAATATACATACCGCTTTATTATATGCAAGTGAAGCTTCTTCTGTTGACTCTACCAAATATTTCCTGAGAGACGAAAGATATAATCACTCAGCAGCACAGTTTGTCAGCAAAAGTGTATACTGATAATTACTCAATCTGTCGGGAAACTGTCTTCTGGTTTTGTCATGGCATTCTTATTAAGTGTGGTTTGAAATGAAAATGAAATTTTGGTTGAGGTGAGTCACATAATAACATTTATTTCATAAAAAGGAAACAAGAAGACTGTTTTGAGACAGGTCAAAAAAGAAAACATGAAGATAAATTCAGTACACCAGCAGTATAATGGAAAATGTCTTGTTTCTCTTTCTCTTTACCTTATTTTATGGAGAGCTGGGATTGTGTCCGGTGTATATGTCTCAAGCAGAAGAATGTGCTCTAAAACCCTAAAAGGACAACAAGAAAGCTAGCATCCTTCAGCAATACCACCCACTTAAGCATGTAAATAGCCATCTCACACTTCTCAAGCTTTTAAGATTACACACACACAAGTGCATGACATGGGTTCATCAGCAACCACAAATTAGCAATAGGTATATCTCACCTCAACTTTGCACTCATGGTATCACATCTTTTACTCAGCCAAGTCTTTTGCAGCTCATCCTATTAATAAATAGGAAAATGGAAAAATCAAACATAAGGCAGATAGTAAAAGACCTGATGAGACTGAATTGGATCGAGTTAGAAAGCCTTCAAGATTATGTTAGTGCAGATAACTTATACTCCCTGCGTACATATAATAGTATCCCTGCATCTTTTTTCATTCATACCATTTGCATTATCCCACAATAAAAATTGGAACAAATTAACTACCAAAAAACTTTTTACCCTTGCATTATTAACACCAAAGTACCAAATCACATAAACATGGCTATATAAGGAAACCCTGATATAAAAGCACGTTTTCCCTAAAACTCCATGCCAAAATTGATTGCCACATATTATTTGGGACAGAAGGACTAATTGTCTTCAACAATTGAAAACAATAAATAGCACATAACTAAACTCACATATTTATGCTGATGTTGCAACTTTATATCCTTGACGAGCTTGATAAGAACTCCAAGTATCTGCTCCAAAACCTTGAACCAAATGATAGGTTATATAAGTCAGGTTTCAGTCCAGATATCACAGAGTAAAAATATAAAATATAGCATGAATACAGGAAAGTTCTTACGTTGTAATATTCTGCAAATTTTCTGTCCGATGAGTATAAATCTTCACGCAAGGTTGCTTCTTCTCTCTCAATCTCTTCAATTATCACCTTTACCCTGTTCAGATGGCAAGTTAGAATGTTAGACACAACATGATAGAGCAAGTTATAAAACAATGAATTATTCAAGTTGAGTATCTAAATGTTTTATATTAAATTACTCCACTGAGAATCTTTATAATGGGATTCTATAGACCTTTTCACTTAATCTCTGATAAAACAATATAGAAAACATAAACCGTAGATGCTAGAGTGACAAGTTTTAAGTATATGCTGAAGTACGTAGGCTAAAAATCGAAGGTATGGTAGGTATAACACTCTTTATGATATAAAGTTCCATCTACACTTTAGATGTGAAATACTGAAATTGAAATCATAGTTTAAAAAGTCTTATACACTTTTTAGTTAAAAATACTCTTTAAGCAATATATTCTGAGTTAAATCTTTTCTTCTTATATATTGTACATTCTGAAAAGAGAAAATGAACATTTTTTTTATATGCATGTATAATATGTAGGTACTACATCTTTGCTAGCATACCTAATTGAGAAGTGTTAGGTAGACGGGTTTAACAATTATCATCTACTTAATGCATACTTGAGTTTGTAAGGGATAAAATATAGGGTTTCGTATCTACTTGAGAGGGGGAGAGAGACCTCTCTGGTAGGCGAGCAGTTGGTACTTGATTACTGATGGATGTATCTGTGGAGTCAAACATGCTCAGGATTGGTGAAATGGGCCCAAGTCAGAATTGATTTGCAATAGCATATATCTGAAACACTGATAATGTCTAAATTTATACATAAAAATATATTTTTCTTTACACCCAAACCATTAGCATTAGAACAAAGCAAGGATGGATGGTAAAAGAGAACGGTGTGCAGTAGATAGATTTTTTAGGATCCGTGCATGAGTAAGTAGCATCTATACAACAGATCATTGATTCAATGTTCAAAGTGAACATTCAAATCAGGCGAAATCTAGGAGAAATAAATATAGAAGTGTAAAAGAAAGCATTGAAAGCTGACTGACCAATGTCGTCTAAGGCAATAACATCTGCTAACTTATCACATTTAGCATCTAACCGACTTCCAATCTCACGTGAAAGCAATATCTGATATTCTGTTGTGTCCTATGATATCAGATGAATAAAAAAATCAACACAGTGATTGGGCATTTGTGGTATAGCAACACCATAATGTCTACACAAAGCAATACCACACGGACACTTTGTGGTTCAATATAGAAATTCGCCAATTCCACAATCAAATCCAACAAAATTGAGACAAACCATGCATAATGGTGACTGCAGGAGTTGAGCCTGCCATAAATAGGTAGGTGTTATTCCTAGGTACTGATTAGGAACACCACCAATGGAAGGTTCTGAAGCATCGGTAGATGGAACAGTAATTCCAGCAGCAGCTGTGAAATTAGTCAAATTTGAGCTGATAGTGACGCTGGTGCCTGTGCTGTCTAGGGAACTTCTTGAGAGTGTACTCCACTTGTCAATTTCGTCATCTTGAACCTCACCGTCTTTGGAAATCAGAGGTAGCCTCAGTCTTTGAGCAGCTTCTGCCACCGCCATCCGATGCTCAAGAGCCTCATAAACCTAATATGCATTTTGTCAACACCATAAAGAAAATGTCTGTTGCTTTTAAATTAAGCATTTCCATCATCATTATCAGTACCTTAATCTCAACTAGTTGTGTGGGCAGTATTAAACCTATTGTATTATACTATTATATGTTATTTAATTGTATAAAATTATGCAAAAAAACAAAGTCAATGTTTCATGCTAGATGACCTTCCCGCTTTAAGCATATCTGGTCTTCTGAAATGTAAGCATTAAAGTTTTGTTTCTTCAGTGATGCTATGGACAAAAATAACATTTTTAAAATCTTTTTACATGGATGTGCTCCCTGAAAAATGAAAACAATGAGATTGTAAAAGATTGGCAAGCATCACACAACTTTTTCAGAATGAATGACTTTCCAATTTGTTTGCCATGTAAGAGCTGGACTAACTTTTACTCATTAAACAGCAATATGGAATTAGTGATTCCGGCACTCTAGTTAGTAAGAGTACATAAGCAAGAAACCTGAGGAGAGGTTTTCAACCCAATTTGAGGGTAGTGACCCTGAACGTCTCGAATTCCACCAATGTTGGCCACAGAAAGAGCTTGCTGATACTCTTCAACCATCCCAACTGCTTCAATGTAAATTGCCTGCGTTATTAATCCATTAAAAGATCAAACTGTACAGTGCACACAACTAAGTTAACAACCCTAATCCCAGCAAGAATCAAAAACAGATGCTAATAGTCATGGATTGCATACCAACGCTTCCAAGTAGCGCTGTCTCTCTTTCGTCATCTCATCCCTCGCCTGCATCACCGTACCTTTAAAGTAAATGAATGAAGCAAAAAAGTTTTTTCGAATTCTAAAGAGAATGAAGCGGTTGAACTTTAAAGATATGGAGAGAGAGAGTACAAGTTGAAGATCGTAGTGGGTGGATTTTGAGACGAGAGAGCCATCGGGAGCTAAGCAGTGGCGCTCGAGTTGATCGATCAGCTGAGTAACATCCGCCGGGAGGTTCTGTGCTCCGCCACCTACCTCCTTCACCATTTTCGACAAACAACTGATCTACATAATCCTATGCAACGTCAATTCCATTTCAAAACAAATGGCCTGCAAATAGATTATGGAGTGAGTCACTTTCCCCTCAAAGATGAAACTAATACGGAGTAAATTAGAGGAATAAGGCTTGGTTTGAAGTGAATCTCATATTGGACACTAAAGTTACAAATGGACCAAATTAAACATTATTATGATTTCATATGTATCTCATATTGGACATTAAAGTTTCATAATTCAATATAAGTGAGTGTCCAATTTGATCTTTATCCAATATAAGTGAGTGTCCAAAAACTATGAATTATGAAACTTTAGTGTCCAATATGAGATATATATGAAACCATAGTGTCTAATTTGGTCCATTTGAAACCTTAGTGTCCAATTTGATTCTTATCTCTAAATTAAATGAAGAAGGTTTATTCTCCTAATTTCTACTCATTCAAATACCCCGAATTTTGTGTCTAGTATAAAAAATTACTTATATTAATATCATGGTGATGTGATATTTCTTTCACAAACGTAAATTTATGACGTGAGGTGAATAATTTAAACAAATTTAGCATTTGTGAGAGTGTAGTTAACATTCTTAACTTCTATTTTCAAAATAACAAACATTATCATGGTTTATTTATATGTGTGTGCGCGTGTAATTGCAATACCTTTAATTCAATATATGTCAATAGAGAACTTTGATTATTAACATTGATTATTAGTAAAAATCAATGAATAAAATAAAATCAAAGTAGAGTCTGTGAATAACGTAAAACTCAATTAAATATGTTAATTGATAATGAAAGTCATGCGATTGACAAATACTTCGTAGCAAATTAAAAGCATTGTAATTATATACACCGGGGCAATATTATTTATTTCACAATGGATGTTTAGAATGTTAATTGTATCCTTATGAATGCTAAGATATTTTAAATTGTCTACTTATTTACATCATAAACTTACATTTGTGACAGAAAAAAATAATATTTTATTTGGGATACAATTAACATTCTAAACATTCTCTCATGATACAAAGATAACTTTTTATATAAAGTTCAGGTACATACATTACATACACAAGTTTGGGATACCTGCATCACACCTCCTCAAAGTTTGGGGAATTTAAATTAATTCTCTTTTGATTATTACATAATTCATCGTGTGAAATAAAAATTATATATTTGGTTAAAAAAGGTTGTTGATAAGGTTGATAAGACGAAAAATCAGGGTCACCAAACGGGCTCATAGTATTTTTAACTTTGTTCTTTTGTAGACGCCATTTTTATATTCCTACTTGATATTTCGTAAACATATGGTTAGTGAATGTGCTATATTGTAGAAATTTGACGTACTTGAGTGTATGATTATCAATTTATGCTCATTTTTATATAAGTTCAAGGTCTCCAACTTCCATCAAGACAATATGCTTCCAATCATATCTCATTGTAGTGCTATCAGCTTGGGCTCGTTTTCAATGATAACTATAAAGCAAATTCGAATGTTTACAACTTTGATAGACATTTTGATCATATCTTGGAGTAGGACTATCCATTTGAGTTAATTTTTATAATACTCGGAATCTAAACTTTAAATATAACTTTCGTGAACAACACATTTTTGAGTCGTAACAGATGCTTCATTTTTGGATTAAAATATATCATGTATATCTATTTACCAATGTTGCATGTGATAGATGTTAGAGGGAAGTTAGACCATATGTTAGCGTAAGATGATCAACTTGAACTATTTTTATATATCAATGGTAAGATAACTTAAAGAGATACAACTTTCATTAACAAAGCTTATTTCAAACCATTACGGGTATCGATTTTCAATACAAATGTCTTGTAAAACTGATCCATCAATACATTATACATGTGTCATGTGATGGAAATTCAATCATATCTCCGTGTACGATTATAAAGCATTGCATTTCTATATTACTCCATCCGTCCCTTAAAGTTTGTCATATTTGACCGACACGTGAAATAATAAAGTAAAATGGGAAGTTAGACCATATGTTAGCGTAAGATGATCAACTTGAACTATTTTTATATATCAATGGTAAGATAACTTAAAGAGATACAACTTTCATTAACAAAGCTTATTTCAAACCATTACGGGTATCGATTTTCAATACAAATGTCTTGTAAAACTGATCCATCAATACATTATACATGTGTCATGTGATGGAAATTCAATCATATCTCCGTGTACGATTATAAAGCATTGCATTTCTATATTACTCCATCCGTCCCTTAAAGTTTGTCATATTTGACCGACACGTGAAATAATAAAGTAAAATGGGAAGTTAGACCATATGTTAGCGTAAGATGATCAACTTGAACTATTTTTATATATCAATGGTAAGATAACTTAAAGAGATACAACTTTCATTAACAAAGCTTATTTCAAACCATTACGGGTATCGATTTTCAATACAAATGTCTTGTAAAACTGATCCATCAATACATTATACATGTGTCATGTGATGGAAATTCAATCATATCTCCGTGTACGATTATAAAGCATTGCATTTCTATATTACTCCATTCTATTCTTTTTTCCTTTCTTTTTTTGAAAATCAAAACATTCTAGGCGAGATAAATGTTTGAACTCCTTACTTAGGCTTGGACCCGGTTCGGGCCACCCGACCCAGTACTGTGCGGGCCCGGACCGGCCCGGGAACCGGGTACCGGTTCCGGGTCTAGGCCCGGTTTGGGGGGGTTATCCGGGGCGGGTAAGGGCTAGGTAAAATCCGAACCGGCCCGACCCGGCCCGGGTCCGGTTCAGGCCTAAATTCTTTTTTTTTTCCAGTTTATTTTCGCTTCCTTCCGGGTTGGGCTGAGTCACCAGAGTGTTTTGACCCGGTTAGGGGGTGGGGGTGGGGGGTCAGGGAGTAGTTAGGAAAGGGAAAAAATATTATAACAGGCCAGGGGCGGTCCCGGGCCTACCACTTAATATCCAAAAGCCCGCCGGGCCTGAGATAATAGAATCCACCCCTGTCCTTACTCATGTGCATGAGATCTAATAGAAAATGGGACTTGCGAGCTCTGATGTTCTTACAGTGTTGAACAAGGGGTGTGTTTCTCAAATCTGAAAATAGTCAACTAATTTGGAAACATAAAACATTACAACCGTATAGTCAACTAATCTGAAAATTGTCAGATTTGTTATCACTCTTATACCATGTGAATAATATTGTTAATTTTTATTTTATGATAATTATTCTTATTTTCTATGTTAGGAGGTTGATATTTTCTTGTTAGAACTAATAGCTGTGTTATTTTGTTTGATATTCTGTTGAGTTCGATTTACTCTTTGTGGAATAACATCATTAACAATTTAACATCACTCAGAGTTTATACAGGTAGATTATATCTTTTTCAATTTCTAAAAAAGTAACCAAGTTTAGATGTGTACTTTCTAAATTCTAATATATTATAAGTTCATATTCAGAGTACATTCTTACGGTCTTACCCTAATAGCTTCTCTGTTTCCTATAAACTTTCAACATGCCTGCCCCGCTGGCGGCTGCCCTCTACGTAGACCTGTACAAAACCGGCCCGGCCCGCCCAACCGGCCCGCACAAATGGGCGGACTTGGGCATATATATTTACCCACTGGGCCGGCCCGAGCCCGGCCCGCAATAACATATGGGCGGGCTTGGGTTAGGGTGTAGGCCCGTTCGGGCCGATAAGCCCGGCCCGCTACATTAAGTGTGTGTGTATATATATATATATATACACTAATTTATTTATTTATTTACATGTACACATGTATATTTATATTTACTAATATAATTTACCTTTATAGTTTACTAGTATTTGTACTTGTGCCGTGCACGGGATAAAAGTATAGGGAAAAGGGGCAAATAAGCCCTCGAACTAATCAAAAAAGTGCAAATAAGCCCTTTTGTAGGAGGTTTCGTCTGTCTATCGTCATTTGAGGAGGTTCCCGGTGGAATTTTTTGATGAAATTTTTTGAGCATCTTATTCATTAAGTCTAGTATAGTCATACCGAATTTCAGCTAAAAAATCAATCGGGAAGACAGTCAAATGAATTTTTGAAGATTACTGCGCAGTTAAACAACGTAGTGTAGTTCCGAAAATCATTTGAGTGTCTTCCCGGTTGAATTTTTAGATGAAATTTGGTATGACTAAACTAGACTTAATAAAGAAGATGCTCAAAAAAATTCATCAAAAAATTCCACCGAGAACCTCCCCAAATGACAATGATCGGACAGAACCTTCTACAAAAGGGCTTATATGCACTTTTTTTATTAGTTCGAGGGCTTATTTGCCCCTTCTCCCTAAAAGTATATTCAAGTTGTAGCATATAAATTGGTTGTGTGTATGTGTGTGTTTAGTATGCTTATTTGTATATGACATTTTAGTTTTTAGTCCCCTTTCAAGTGTAGTCATATTAGTTGTGTTAGTATGTATTTCGTTCGTTTTAAAACATAAGATGCATTTTGTTAGAAACATTTGTAGGAAAATAAATGAAATGTTTTGATTTGTACATTATTTACTTGCATATATTAGTAACATTATACACACACATATAAAATACATCGTGCATCTTTCCATTCTAACTATGTCATCTTCCCCTTTTGACTGTTCAAAAAACTTTACTACTTTCACTTTTAATCAGTTAATTTGTGTTTTAATTCTTCATTTCTCTATCCACTACACAAACTTCAACAATACAATTTTTATTTTATTATTTCACATTTCTACGTACCGGCCAAACTTGGCACAATTATGAGAGAGAGAGATCAATATAAAGTACTCCCTAGCAAATTGAAGTGGCCCCTTTGGATCCAAATTTCATGCCCAAAATAGCGCTAAATTATATTAACCACATGTTTGTGTGGTTTTGAATGGTGTTTTCTTTATTTCTATTTTATCAATTCCATTTAATTATATAAATTTAATTTTCTAAATAATTTAACCACTTCGTCAATTCATGTAACAAACACTATATTATTGTAGATTGTTTCTAGAATTGTGAATATAATTTTTTAACCTGATAAGCAAATTACCAAAATCAGTGAGTAAATGCCGGAAAACATTTACCACAATATAATAAATATTGAGGGAGGGTA